CAGGTGTGAAATATTTGAAAGAGCATTTTGTAGCACTTCATTGCTAACTTAAATACACTTGATGTGCAAGAATATACCAAGAAACCAACAAGTTTGTGTGGTCTGATGAGAAAAAGTTTTTTAATCACAACAAGCACACTATTTCTACAATCAGATATGATGGAAGTTCACTGATGTTTTTGGGGGTGTGTGTCTTTATCAGACGCTAAAGCCCTTCAGAAAGTGTAAGACAGAATGAATGCAGTCAATATCAAGAGAAGAGCTTCTTACCAACCTGCAACCCCTTGTGAAAAAAAGTATACTAAAGTAGTGCTATAGTATAGTTATATACTTTGATATTTTGAAACCACTAATTTGTACTAAATTGCTAGTAATGTGAATTTGATATATTTAAGTGGTGTTTTATTTATGACATTTATGCCATTTATGCCATATAATATCATGTGCTATTTTCACCACTCTTAAAATATAATTTAAATATAGTAGTTTAGCCAAATTGAACTCTAAAAACTCAACTGTGCTAAAAGTATGTTTGTAAAACAGTGTGCTCTTTAATCACATAATTAGTGTATCAAGTGATATAGTAGTATATATTTAGTATATTTACAAATTCAGTGAAGTATTTGCTGAATCCTTCTTGTGCTCTTGCAGTACTGGTTCAGTATCAGTATCAAAGTATGTACTTTAGGTATTTACCTAAGTGTACTCCAATACATGCTTAGTCAGATATCTCTAATATACAAGTATTTTAACTGTAGTACACAATGACAGTATTTGCAGTATTATGTATGTAACCTTCCAACACAGCTCAATTGTACTGGAAAATATGGTTCAAGTGTTCAACCACTGAACTTAAATGACCATTTATTTTATACTTTGTAATTTGTAATACAAGATGGTAATGATAGTCCAATGGTTCAAGTCTATAAATACTGTACATCATTTTATAGTAACAATAATGTAATTACTGTATTAACAACACTATAAAAAACACTTTCTGAAAATTTTGTACACACTTTAGTAAAGAAAATGATTCTATATAGAACCATGAACACTCAACGAACCGCTTGCATGAACCCTTTCGTGACACAAAGTACCCTTTAATCATCCTCGTCTTGTCTTGGTGAAACATTTCTAGTGAATTAATGAGGTCAGGGATAACTAGCAGCTATCAGTGTTCACTAAATTACATCAGTGATCAACTTTCATCTTTCAATCTGAAATTGTCACTCAATGTAAGAACTTCCAGAAGCTTACATAATTTGAATAGTTTGTTATCTAACTTAACTTTAAAATGTAATGTTATCTACAAAGGTTTTCTAACTGCAGACTATGTTTTGATAATTCAATATAATTTTGTGTTTATGGTCTTTGGAACCCCTAAAGTAAACATTTCTAGTAGGATCTGCTGATTTTAGTGAGTGACACTTGTTGAGGCAACATAAATGCATTGAAATTCCTGAGAGAATACAGAGATTACTTCTGCGATGAGTCGGATCAGGTGTGTTGAGAGCAGGAAAACACTAAAATGTGCAGGGCAGGTGTTCTCCAGGACCAGGGTTGGGAATCACTGAGTTAATCCAATCCTGTTATTAACATAGTCATTCATATGCATTTGTTAAAAGGCAAAGTTTATTACAGTGTACACTAAGTTGGTATGCTAAGCCTGTATTTGAGTACAATGTAGTACAAATAAGCACTAAAATGGTTCTGCAAAAATATTAATGTAATAATTGTACATGAGTACGAGTAGTACTACAAAAATAATTTTAGAACACTTTTATTGCACTTTTATGGTTCAGTTTGGCAGCACAGATTAGTATACTTATATTACATTATAAGCATAACGAAGCATGACAAATATATATCAAGTACACATTAGTAGTGATTTAGTACAAATTAGTGATTTCAAAATAACATTACATCATCATTATATCATTAAAGCACATATTTAACACAAAAAATATCTTTTTTGGGAAAGTATGAGAAAATAACTTTAAACGTCTGGTGTTTAAAATAGTTCCCTTGTATTCTTCTTTTATGAATTCAGTGCAAGGGGATTCACAGACTTTTGCACTTAACTGTATATGTAAATGACCTCTATAAACATGAATAGGCAGGGCTAAACTCTAGGCTGTATAGGTGAATGTAAATGTGATGGTTTTTGTGACATCACAAAAAACAATGAATTTGAAATGGTTTGTCTTTAAAAAAGTGTTAAAAAATATATTTTTTAAAATTTTACAAGCCATTTATATGTGGATGGAGGTGAATGTAGATTGCTTCCTATTATGCACAGTATTCTTTAAGATTTAAACATCACATGAGATCAATGGCTGCTGATCCATTGTAGTGTTTTCCAGTCTGACCCAGCTCAGTCACAGAGCACACCGCCGGCCACGGCTAAGAGCTTGATTCACGGAAAGGCAATAATGGTAGCATAAGCATTATTACAGAAGAGCAGCCCAGTGGGCATTCGTCAAGTTGCTGACAGTTACATATCTCCTAGCCACTAACAGTGAGCATGGTCAATAGCAGAGATGTGCTTCCCTGATAGCATCCTGGCTATATGTCAAACAAATGTATTAGAATTAAATATTACCTAAGTTCCCAGATGTATTGCATAAACAATAAATATACTAATTAGAATGTGTAATTCTTACTATTCCTTTGTATGAAACAACTCGTACTAAACATAAAGAATAAACTTGCACTGGACATTCTGAGGCTGACCATGACATTAATCTCTTAATCAAGTTCTTGATCTCTCGATACAGTAAGATAGGATAAAGTGGAGAGTGGATTTCCTCTGAAGAGCGCGGTTGTGTGTTTTAAGTGACAGGCGCCATCAGTCACTGAAACCGCTTCCTGTCTTCCTGCAGCGAGGTGGAGTGTTTCCGCTTTTTATTTGATTTGTTGGATCAATGATTGGGATTATATTGTTTCACACGGTCCTCCTCTATGTGCCACAAAGAGGTTTTCAATTAACTAATGCACAGATTACCATCAATCTTCTTCTCTGTGTCCGTTCCTGAGAACCCTTGGCCCTGAGGGCTCTGATAAGCATGATTAGCCTCTGCCGGGCAGCTCACACCTCCACACTGACAGACACAGTCCTCACCTCTGACACACTGCAGCACCGTTAGCCCTGGCTTCTGAGGGCAATTTATAGACCTTAGATTGAAGTCTAGCTACCATACAATACAATGTAACAATTAACTATGCAAAATGTAGATGAGGTTATCTTCTTCTGAATACATAGCCATATCACACTGCCCTGTTATTACTCAGAACATAAAAAAACATTCTAACTAAAACAACTGATGAGAAGCATTATGGCTTAGTGTAAACAGAATCTATATTTATCGTACAGTTATGCAAGAAGGTTTGCTAAATCTAAATCTAACAAAAATGTGGTCACGAAAGTAGATAAGAATAATCATATATATATATATATATTTATATATATATATTTATATATATATATATATATGTATATATTTATTCATATATATACAGTTATCAACTGGTGTGACCCCTTTTGAGTCCCCAAGTGTTTCCTGTAATAGTAATTGGCTTGAAGAAAATTTGGCCCATTCCTCCTTGCAGAGCTCCTTGATGTTGGCGGGCTTTCTTGCATGAACTCCAAGCTTCAGACCCTGATACAACATTTCTATTGGAAGTCTGGACTTTTCATAGCTCCATCAATGGTGGCAATCCATCCTTGTCCTGTGGCTGCAAAAAAGCCCTAAACCTTGATACTGCCACCACTGTGTTTCACAGTGGTGTTCTTATGCTGGAATGCAGTATTGCAGTGTTCAGTTTTTCCCAAACATAACCTTGGTCACTTAATCCAAAAAAGTTTTTGACTCATCTACTCATACAACATTTATCCAGGATTCTTCATTATCAAACTTTAAACAGGCAATGTTCATCTTGTAGAGTGGCTTCGTCAAGAATTCTTGAATTTTTGCCTGGTTGTGGACACGTTAACATTGACATTAGCCAGTGCAAGGGAAGCCTGTAGATCCTTAGATGTTACCCAGTGGTTCTTTGTGATCTCTTTGTGATCCAAAATATTATACCCCTTTCTTTTGCAGTGACTTTCTTGGACAGCTACTCCTGAGGAGGATAAAAGTTGTGTTATATTTGTACACTATGACCCGGACAGTGGATTGGTGAAGTCCAAACTCTGTAGAAATTGTGTTGTATCATTTTACAGCCTGATTAGCACTGGCAACCCTTTTTCTGAGCTTCTCAGAAATCTTCTTTGAACAGCTTGCTGTGTAGGCACACATGAGTGTGGCCATCACCAGACGTTGATAGTGAATACACAGGATGACGTCTTTGAAATATTGTGGGTCTTTTAAAGTCACACCCCCAGTACTGAACGGTTAATTCTAAAAGATCACAAACTTTTTCCAACACAAACATTTAAAATTGGGCCAATTTATTCAGTGAGTATAAAAAAGCATATTTGTTATTTTGTTCTTTTCTTAACACTAAGATTAAAAAATCTCATCACATTTTAAGTTAAATGTTTGCTGAAATCTGCAGTATACTAAAGGGTTTACAAACTCTAGCGCCAGTGTATTTATACATGCCATTGAAGGAAAAATGAATGGAGCGATGTATTGGAAAATATCAGAGGAAAATTTTATCTCATCAGCCAAAAAACTGAATCTGGGGAGAAGATGGAGGTTTCTAAAAAGAATGGCTTGAATGGCCTAGTCTCCTAACTTAAATGCCTTTGCAAGTTGTGGATTCTGAAAAGTCCATAAGAGAGAACCTCGTAATCTTGGGGTTTTGAAGATGGTTTGCTAAGAAGAATGGGTCAAAATGAAACCACAATGCTGCAAAAAGCTAATTATTTCTTGCCGTAAACATCTCAAACTACTACTGATACTAATGTATTGTTAATAATTTGTAGTGTCTAAGTTTCTCTCTCATATTTTAATAATCTCTTTGTTTATGCTTAAAAATGCATCCTTTATCATTCATATTTACAACATCAAAAGAGATTATATGTGTAAATCTGAAGTAGATATATGCACTGGAAGCACATTAAATAACAGAAACGAAACTGTAAATGCTTGTTTGCCCTCATTCCTCATTTCTCATTTGTATTTGTGTGTGCATGTGTGTGCATGTGTGTATCAGTATCCTTATCCTGGCTGCGGATACCTGGAGTGCTTCAGCGTCTGGCGTTCACATACTTTGTCCTGTCACTGATGCAGACGTTTTCGCCCTACCGAGAGATCCCACCAAAGGAGGTGGGCTGGCCTCTGTGGCACTGACCTTTTTCGCTAAAGCTTTAGCATTTGGGTTATCATTTGGCAGTATTAGGACTGCACAATATATCATTTGGTAATGTCATTGCAATATTCATCTTTGCATTTGTAATTGCAGAAGACTGCAATATGCTAATACTCCCTCTAAGAAATTACTAAATGTTTTTTTTCTGACTAACCTCTGATGCTGCAAAAGAGTTTCTGTGAGAGTTTAGATGAATCAAGGCACTCACGTGCTGCGCACAAGCCTAAGATCACTATGCACAATGCCAAGGATCGGTTGGAGTGGTGTAAAGCACACCACAGGATGCTGGAGCAGTGGAAAAGTGTTCTCTGGAGTGATTAATCACACTTTACCACTTGGCAGTTTGATTGACAAAGCTGGGTGTGGCGGATGCCAGAAGAACTCTTCCTAACAGACTGCATAGTGCCAACAGTAAAGTTTGGTGGTGGAAGGATAATGGGCTGGGGCTGTTTTTCAGGGTTTGGACTAGGCCCCTTTAGTTCCAGTGAAGGGCCTGCACAGAGCCCTGACCTAAATCCTATTGAACACCAGTGGGATCATTTGGAACATTAATTGCCAGGCCTTCTGATCTCACAAGTGCTCTTTTGAGTCTAGGGGCACAAATTCCCACAATACGCTCCAAAATCTCCAAATGTATTCTCAGAAGACTGGAGGCTGTTATAGCCACAAAACGCTATATATAAGTCCATGTAGGTGTGATGGTCAGGAGTCCACATACTTTTGGCCATATAGTGTATGTAGGAGCAGTGACACTGCACCAAAACTTTGGGTAGCACTTTACAATACTGACAAACACCATGAGAAATAGTTTTTTTGTGATCTGTTTATAGTTCCTACTAGAACAGTTTATTGTTCTGTAAATGTATATTATCTGATGATAACTACTTCCGATGCTAATTTCTTTTCGTGTTCATCCATTAATGATGAAGGATAATGGATTATTCATTTCCAAGAGTTATTTGTTCATTATTTGCCCTTAAAAAGTTGCTTGGCTTCTAAGGAACCATACTTTAAGTGTTTTTAAACTTTGTTACTTCGCAGACCTCCAGGAACTGAGTTTAGGAAAGCTACACTCATAAAACAGGCTTCATAAATGGTTCTTGGCACAGGGCATAGGAAAAACCTTTGATTGGTATTGAATCTTTACATAATGCGGAGCTTCTTTAAACTTTAAAAAGGTTCTTACACTCGCACATCTCATTTACAAAGCTGTTCTTCTCCAGATCCGCTGGTGGAGCCCTGTTCAGGACGTGGTGCTCTACTGGCCAGAGTGGATCTTCATTCTGCTGCTGGAGGCAATGTGGCTGTGCGTCACCTTCCTGCTGCCTGTGCCCAACTGCCCCACGTAAGTCACAGTTCAAAACAGAAGCTTTAGAACAGAAACATGTACATAAATCCCAAATGCAATAAAGCATTTGTGAGCATAATGTGTCCCTGACACCTGTTTTATCTACATCCCTGAGCCTGATCCTAATGTAATATGATCATGATATTATTCATATATCATGTTAATATTACAAAGCAGATGACAGGTGTGTCAGTATCATTGTTCGTCAATGTCAAAGCATTCTGGCTATTTAAGCATGCGGGTCTTGTACAATGCTTTTATATTTTGCATGGGCACACATGTATAGGGAATTGTGACTTGATGAATTGTGTATTAGTGTGTGTGTGTGTGTGTGTGTGTGTGTGTGTGCAGGCAGATCGGTGTGTTGGGCTGCTCTTATGAGACACTCCTGGTGATTTATGAGTGTGTGGCAAATGCTTCAGAGGGAATAATTAGCCAATCTCAGTCTGTCATGTGCACTAAAAGGAGGCAGGGGCAGAGAATCCATCTTCCTTTCCCTTCTCTCTCCATGTTTTTCTCTCTTCTGTTTTTTTACCCTTCCATTTATGCTCTCCTTTCTCCTCTCCTCTCCTTTCCTCTCCTTTCTGCTCTTTTTTCATTCTGTCTGACTCTGTAAATGGCATTGACATACACATGCAGACTACTCAGTACTCTTCTGGAGCAGTTGCACATTTTCTCCTTCATATGCACTGTCCTTGTTCTGCAGAAGATAATGCATAAACATTTGGCTATTGCTATGTATGCCCACAATATACAGCTTCATATAAAAAATGAAGGAGAAAAGGATTTATTTCATCCATTCAGATTAAATGCAAGCATGTCTGATTGGTTGAAGTCATATATGGCTTGTTGCTTTTGACAGTGGGTATTTGGGCGCTGGAGGAATAGGCGATAACGGTCTGTACCCTAACTGCACAGGAGGAGCAGCTGCATATATAGACAGATGGTTATTAGGAGACAACATCTACTGGTACCCAACATGCAAGGTGAGAATCACGGACCAGAGAAAATGAAAACAAACAGTCCCAAACATAACCAACTCTGTGGGCTTAAATTAGTGAAGCACACTCTGAAAAATAATAATGGTTCTTGACTTGCACATACTGTTCTAGCAAAAACATTTAATCGATATTTAATCAAACATTTTAATGATATTGAGGTTCTTCAAACTTTAAAGTGTTTCTTTACACTCACACATCTCTTTTACAAAAGTTGTTCTTTAACTCATTAATGCACATGTCTGAAATTTTCCTTTGGTCCATATGTTCTCTGGGCTTGATCAAAGCACAGGGCCTAAAAGTGAGTTTTGTCATCACTTATCATATTAAATCTAGTCTTTTGGTCACCTGGGACTACCGATTTATCAAAACAAGAACTGCATGTAATCAAAAGAAAATAAATAGAAATAGGCACTGCTATATGTTTAGCCAACGTGCAGCTGTACAAAATGCCATTACTTTAGGCCAACTTCAGCAAGTTCTTTGGCCTTATTTTCTTATCATGGTAAATTTTAGAGGTGCACTGATATGGGAATTGTGGGCCTTACCAATATTCAGTGTTTTTCATGTATATTTCTATATAGATAAACATGTAATAGAAAAAGGGAAACATTGAGACTAAATCCACCTGGATTAGCATTATAGAGATATATAACATATTGTTGCTGTCATGCCAAATCCTTGTATCTTCATTTTTATCATGTATTACTTTTTTTGCATAATTTGAAACTCAGGCTTCCCTTTGCATGTTGTTCACTGTCACAGGCCATGTATCATACAACTCAGCCCTTTGACCCAGAAGGTGTTCTTGGTACCATCAATTCAATTGTACTGGGATTCATTGGGATGCAAGTAAGTTAAACAGATACTGCTTGTTCTGCACTGAATTTTGCTACAAAGATTTATTCAGTTCTTATGAAGATCAATGTAAATGCAAGCTACAAATTCCCACTTTCACATCAGCACAAAAAAGACCCTAATGGTTGTTTCTTAAGGTGACCACAGCTGGACTGCTTGACCACTTCCACAGCCAGACAGCTGTTTTCTCTCAGGGCCACAGAGCACAGAGTAGTATAGTATAGTCTGCAGTGCAGCATTCTGTGGCAGATCACTGAAAAGTCTTTCACCCTTTGATAGTGACAGTGTCGCACCGGCTGCTGAGAACTCACCCCGCAGACCTGGACACATTTCTCAATCCCCCGAGGGCGGAGGCAAAAAACAGTTAGCGGCGAGCCAGTCAATCAACATGTCTTAGAGAACACGGCAGGTGTCAGCCTCTCCGTTTGTGTCCGTCCGCCAGCGCGTCCTCGGCTGAGGCACATTCGTCATCACCAAATTAATCAGCGGGCGCGGCCGACCCTGCAGCAGCGTAGAGCAGCACAGCAGCACTGAAACCTGAGCTCCATGTCAGGGACACAACCAGCACATCCGCTCACAGCCTAACCACATCCAACACTACACAAGTGCACCACTTGATGAACACTATAGCCCAGCAGACCCTCAGAGCTGTTTTAGGTGATTCTGGTTTTAATGCATTCAATATTATAGGCCTTAAGTGTGTGCAAACCAATCGCTGAATTACTTACACATCATTTTTAATTGTTATATTTAATAAAAACTTGTTGAAAATGTCACAGATGAAGTCCAGTGATGTCCTTTCAGCCAGTAGAATGTGAACTGTGTTTGAAGATAATGAGCGGTGTCATGTCTGTGTTTCTAAGGCAGGGAAGATTTTCCTCTTCTTCCGCAAAATGAACTGGAACATCATGATACGTTTCACAATCTGGACCATCACACTGGTAGGTTACGCATTACATATAGTACTAAAAGAACTGCAGTTCACTAATAAAATACCTACTCTCTGAGATACCATATTCTCTAAAATACTAGTATTTTTCCTTTGAATTTAAAATTTACAAATCTCTGGGTTTGATTATTTTGAAGTAAGATAATGCGGCTCAGCCCTTTTGGGTTTTGATGCAGTGGTGAGTTTATACAAGTTTTGGAAAAGATCCCAGGATTTTGCTCATTTGTTTAGTTTTGTTTTTTAATTTACACAACCCTCCTCAAGCATGCCTAATTCAATATTGTTGCTGTCCAAAAAAAACATCTCCAAAATAGTGACTTTACAGGAAAAGACAAAAATGTCCTTAACTTTTAATGGAAATCAATGAAAAGAGATCTCTTCATATGTAATTTTGGAGTAGTTCTAGTAGTCCATCATTGCATTGTCACACAAAGAAGAGGATGGCTGTTGTGTTCTGCGGTTTGCTGTGATTTGATGATTAAAATCTTATTGAATTGAAAAATGTTGCACTCATACTGAGTATAAAGTTTGTTTTTGTTCAAACTGTTCAGTGCAGTTATCATGCCATATTGTTAGATACTTTGAAATGTGATATTAATAATATCTGTAACAAGTTGTTTCATCATCTAAATGACTCCCAAAGATATTAATTTAGTAATCATGTAAAGCCAGTAGATGATTGGAAATATGAGTTACATGAGGGAATAATTCAGCCTTACTCCATGTATCAGCTATCATAGCTGTACATAAAGATATCAAACACTTTACTCTCTATACACACAGCACTGTATGACTTTTGCAGCACACAAGTGTTATATTGCATGTAGTTGCAGACAGTTAATGAAATAGGTAGACGTCATATGATCCATCTGTACATGCACGGAATGGGTTCCCAGGCAGAGATTGGTATCGGACCCCTCTCGGGACTGGACCGGATGGCTCTTGTAGCTTGTAGATCTCTAGTGGTCTTACCATATAAAGTATGCTGTTAATGTTACGTATTAGTTACATAGCATGTGAAGTAGAGAAGTTGTTTTGTTCACCAATCTCTTGTTGTTGTCTTGTTGTGGCCACTGTTTCTATATTTTTTATGCATATTTCAGGTGAAGAACTGCACTATTCTGACTATTCAACATGTCAGCTGTGTGTACTCAATAACTTGGATGTCACAACCAAAGATGTACCCTAAGAATTAAGTTCTCCAGCTAACTAAACTTGTGCTAGAGTCTGTGGAGAGTGAGATATACCTCACCATATAAGTATATACACTATATACTTCACTATAATGATTGGAAATAATTAGATTGGTTTGATGGTGGGAAGAAGCAGCTTGTTGGTTGTAAGCTCCATTTGGGTGGTCTGGAAAGTGAAGGGGGCATATGCTATGATGGTAGTGTGGTGTGGGAGGGCATTTAAACCTCTGTCCCCTGGGGAAAGAGCTTGGTTATGCGAGATGTCCTTTCAGTGGGGCTGCCTGGACAAACAAGTGAGCAGAGTTCACACACTGTTGTTCTTCAGTCGTTTACTCCATTTAGGGGTTTGTGTGTGTGTGTTAACTCTGTATACACACTCTCATGTTGTCTTCATTTTTACAGTCACTGTTGTAAGAAAACATCTGAAATGGTAACTGTACAGAAGGAGACAAAAACATTTTTCATTTTCATTTACTCATTACAATAACAAGATTTTATTTTAAGCATTTTTCAACCATTTCTATTGGTCAGTTCATCATAAAATATTTAAAAAAGTTTTTACAATGTTGCAAATTATGAGGTTTGCATATGACAGTGACAAAAAGTCAAAAAACACTTTAAATGGAAGCGTTACCAGATTGAGTCACAGATTTGGCTTCTAAAGCAGTTTTTTTTTTGGTGCTCTAATTAAAGGCTATAGATGAATATGAAGCTGTATGTTGCAGGAAAGCTCTGCTGCTGGCTTGTTTTGGGGTTCTGGTGGCAGAGTCTCTGGAATGCCCTCTCCAGAGAGCACAGGTGCTGATGGAAGGCTTTTGTCTGGCAGACTGAGGGCATTAAGCACACCAGCAGAATGACCAGAGGGAGCTTTCTTTGTGACTGAATAAAGGGAGAAATATCAGAAAAGGTCTTTGTATGAATGATCAGGACTCTTATCATTATTATGTGGTTTTTGAACATCTTTAAGAAAAGAGCCGTGCTGAACCACTTAAAACGGTGTTTCCAAATTCCTCTCATAAAGTAGCTGTTTCACAGTTTCCAGCTTCTCAGCTTCAGTTCGTAGACGGCTTGAAAAATAGCCAATGAACTGAATCAGGTGTGAGAGAAGGGAAATCGCTTAACTACACGGAACAGGGGTCCTCAAGGAAAGGGCTTGTGAAACACTGCCCATAAGGTCCAGCACAGTTGTTTCGACCTGCATCTTACCAGCAGGTCTCTGAGGAACTTTATTACTCAGTCTTAGGATCTAGCAAAAAGAAATTTCCTGGACCAGTTATTTTCTTTTCAATGGCTACGACAGATCAAAATCCATGTGCCCAAAATCTGAAGTAAGTGCAAGATGTAGCATTCTTTCTGCTGTCAGTGCAACAGGAAGGATTATGTGATATGAGACAGAGAGCAATAAAAGAGAGTCATCATTCAATGTGCACTGGCAATATTGAAGAGGAGATATGAAAGTGTTTTCTGGCATATACTCATGAACATTGTGTAAGTCCTTTAAACAATGTTCTTCCAAGGGTCCACAGTCCACCTCCATCTTGCAACATGAGGTCACTGGATGTACCAACTCTTAATTAAAGGTCTGCACATTATTCTTCTCTTTACATAGAGGCCTCATGAGTGGGTTGTGTAAAGCATTACACATCTACTCTCATCACTTTTCCAAGTAGGATACGTGAGGGGAGAGCACATGTTGTGAACCCAGTGTTAGCAGATGCCTGATTCCAATATTTTAAATTTCATTATCCCCAGCTTCTATGACAAATTGGTCCATTACAGCTCTATGTTGAACCACACTGGCCATTATTGTGGCGCTATAGTGCTCAAGGTGCTGAAATAAATGAGGGGAGATCTATTCTGCTTTGCCTAGAGGCACAGCATGATAAAATAAGCTAGCCAACAGTAAAACATTATGATGATAAAATAAACTAGCTAACAGTAAAACATTATACTCCCACCATTCACCTCTGCTGGAGCCTCCATTGTGAAATGCAGGGCTGGGGGTGGAGGTTTGTCTTGAAATTGTCTTCAGAATGTGTCATCACTTAGGGTGCAGATGATTTTGATAATTGATGATAATGACTAGTTCCGTTCATGTACAGGAATTGTGGATGCAGTTAGAGTTGTCTGCTGTTATGGGCTGTGAGCAGAGAGGTGTAGAAATTCCATATGAGAGGTTTATTGTGAAATACAACCTTTTTTCTGCACTGGACTGAAATGGCCAGTCACAGAAAAATATGGATTAAGATATTTATTGACCCACAGAGCACATGACTGAGCTTTCAGAAAGGCGGCAAGGCTCTTACAGACACAACCACAAGAGCGACTATCAGTTATCACTGACATCTCCAGAGAGCAGTATGGTTTGAGGAAACATCGCAGGTTGAACAGCCTCTTGTATGGTTAATGCAGTCTTGACACGGGGGGTTTCTTCCTGGTTAAGCATGTGCATAATTGTCTCCCACCACATCAACAAAGTCATAAAGCATACGCTAAGAGAGTTAGGCTGGCTGCTGTGGCGTAAATCCTGCGGCAGATTGCAAGATGATCGTTTGAGGCTGTTGTGCCCCTATGTCCTAATAAGCAAGGGCCCTGAGTTAATTAAAGTTCAACGATCAGTGGTCGGCAGTGCAAGATTGAAATTGAGCGATTGCCCCACATAGCAGCGATTGTCCCACATCCTGCCTACATAGCCTGGAGACTCAATCTAGAGCCAGCCAGGCTATTTCCACACCATTGATTCTGTCATCTATACAAATGATGGATATCCCTCTAACAAGCAGGTTTGGACGCTGATATGTCCACCCTCGCCAAAGCAAAATACTTCACTGAATCTGTCCAAGCCATTGCCTGTTGTAGCAAAATATATGCAGTATTTACAGAGGAGTTGTGCTTTTGTCGATGAGGGCATATTTTCAGAGAGTGCAGGAAAGTGTGTGTGTAGTAAAAGAGGGCAGAATATGCATCATCTAATAAGGGTGTAACAATTTCAATACTATTGAATAGTATTGAAAAATGTAAAAAAAATGAACATGTATCAAGCTTTAAAACAGAATGGCCCATACACCCCTGGGTCTTCTCTGAGGGTCTCTCATTTGCCGTCTCACATAGAAAGCACTGGCATTTGGGTGCTTTATATCCATTTTCGTATTATTTCATAGTGTTGTCTTGTAAGTTCACTACTTTGCACATGAACATGCTGCTTTGCAGTCTTTTGCTCCAAAATAAAATTTGTATTTTTCTGAGCCAAACCAATTCTGTGTAGAACATTTTGTTGCTCTGTAGCATCAAGACATTTTTAACACATCAAAAATCAAATCAAATTTGGATCTCATCATGTCGAACCAGAAAAAATGTGTATTATTACCCCCCTATCTAAAGCTAAGCTGTCTTACGTAAGATCAAAAGTTTATCCTGTCTTATACCAGTTTGACTGGTGAAAGAGAGCATTACGTTGTATAGTTTTGGGGTAAACAGGACTTAACTTGGCTCTCCTCTCAGACAGTTGGCTAATCTTCTGGACTCTTTATTGTGCTGCTGCAGGTCTCTGCTGTCCGATAGTGCTTGCTTTATGGCTCAGCATTGATTTGAAATCTGTTTCATTTTGACCCTCAGGGAATCTTGGCGGCCATCCTTTCTAAGTGCACACGAGACGAAGGATTTATACCTGTCAATAAAAACCTTTGGTAAGTGCTTCCTGACCCTCTAAATCCAGCCGCTTCTCTCCACACTAAAGAAGGGATGAGTCTCCAGTAGGCACAAATCAGAGCTGCTAAAACACGCGTTTACTTACTTCTAACCACAGATCTGCCTGTAAATAATCACCCTTACTGTCGGAAGAGTGAGGCAAGCTGGGTGATACATCCTCTTACTAGATCACTCTTCTTCTTCACAGCCAAGACAGAGAGCATACTGGGATGGCCACAAAAAACTTCACATGACAGTGGAACATTATTTGCATCATTTCATTTAGAATTAAATGTGTTTGCCCCCCTAAATGCCAAGGACTCCTCCCAAGGTCAATGCCTCACACCTATAACTTCAGAATAACTTGGTCAATTTACCTTGTTTTCCATTAATTACTGAATAAAAAGCATAAGCGTGTATTAATGGGAATTTCAAGGGGTTTAAGAAAATAGGTTGCAGTTAGGGGTGGGCAGCATGACAATATATTACTGTTATTGTAATAAAATGCTTTTCTGAGTATATTGTCAGTAAATTTACAGCACGGCACAGCTTCATTTATTATAAAAAAGACCTGTAAACACCAACAATCAATGTACAGCAAATGCTCAGAAACAAGTAGTCAATTGAATGTCAGTCCATTATGTTAAAATCTTATTTCATTCATTTATTTTTATTAATTATTTGATTCTTTCACCTAAATTGTTTATTTTCTTTCAAATAGTTTTAAGAAGTTTTAGATTTAAGAAATCAATGTACTAATAATTTTTCCTAGACTTTTACAAAATATGGCACTACCATCCTGCCAGTGTATTTTGTCAGTTCCAACTTGTTTACAAACCTAAGAAAAACTATACATCTTGACATCTCACGTATTGTGAAAATGCCTTCAATTATCCGGATTGATTATCATCAGTATCATTGTCTTATTGCCCAACCTTGCTTGCTTTTAGTGAAAAATAATGCTCATTGCTAATGATACATTTCAGATGTACATCTATGGGCCAAAACATTCTGACCACCTGCCTTATATGCTGTTGGTCATCCATGTGCCACCAACACAGCTTCAAACTGCCAAGGAATGGCTTCAAGACCTCTGAAGATGCCCTGTGGTATCTGACACCAAGACATTAGCAGCAGATTGTTTAAGTCCTGTAAGTTGCGAGGTGGAGCCATCGTTGATCAGACTCATTATTCCAACACATCCCACAGATGCTTGATCAGACTGACATCAGGGGAAGAGGCCAGGGTAACACCCTGAACTCCTAATTATGTTCCTCAAACCGTCCCCAAACAACATGTGCAGGGTGTATTATCCTGCTGAAAGAGGCCCCTGCAATAAGGGAATACCATTGCCATGAAGGGGTGTCTCTGGTCAAAAGCAATGTTTAGGTAGGTGGCATGTGTCAAACTGACATGCGCATGAATGTCTGAGTCTGGACTTTCCCAGCAGAACATCACTTCGAGCATCACTGTCTTCTTCCCAAACTGCATCCTGGAGCAGCCACATCCCAAGGTCATTGGCACATATGTACCCAGTCGTCCAAGTGATGTAAAAGAAAATGACTCACTGAACTAGGCAACTTTCTTCCATTGCTACAAGGACTAGTTCTGACACTTGTGTGCCCATTGTAGACACTTTCAGCAGTGGACAAGGGTTAGCATTGGCACTCTGACTGGTTTGCAACAGCACAGCCCCGTACTCAGCAGAGAGCGATGCACTGTGTGGTGTGATACATTTATCCTGTAAACATCATTAAAAATTTCAGTGACTTTCTGTGCCACATTAGTCCCTCTGTCAGTTTGGACCACACAAGCTAGCTTTCATTGCCGTCCCGCATCAATGAGCCTTGGCCGCCCAACACCCTGTTGTTGGGAGCGCCCTACAAGTCTGCCCACTTACACTGACCCAGTTGTTAGGATGTAACAAATTTTGGCCCTTGTCATAGTCACTCAGCTCTTCACATCTACCTAATTCTCCTGTCTTCAAAATGTCAACTACGAGAACCGACAGTTTGCTTATCAAGATATATATCCCAGATCTTGACATGCACTGTTGTTCTGTGATAATCAACGTTATTTGCTTCATCTGTAAGTGGTCATAATGTTTTGGCTCATCAATGTATATATCTCAGAACATTGAGATGCATTATGGTACATTTGGGGGTGTTGATATGTATGTATGTGTTCTCTTCTTTGGGACTTCAGTCCGTTCATGCTCATCTAAACCAATTACCTACCTGAGCTTTATGAGCAGTTCATCATATACAGCTTGTTGGGCCCCTGAGTATGTCTGTCTTGATTCCTAAAAGTAATTAACCACGAGCTGAGAGTCGTTTTTGGCTCCGCTTCAGCTCACGATGTCTGCCTGAGCTCTCTGGGATGCAGACATTTTACTTTAGATAAAATTCCATCCAACATCCTGGCACTTAGGAACAGACAGGGACATGACTTGTTGGCGCAGCTCAAGCTTTTCTGAGCATGTGCCAAGGATTCACTTTGGATGCTAATGATTCTTATAGGAATACTTTCAGAACAGATGCTACTCTATTCTATATTCTATTATTTATCTTTTTGTCTTACATTGTGATGCCCTCACTGTTGTTGCTGTTTGTTCAGTTCACAGCAGCTCAATCAAGTGTACCATAGAAATGATACTGCTAAGACGTTTGTGTGCAGTTCCAACTCCCAATATTAAAGAAGCTCTGTCATTTAAATGATTAAATAAATTCTACCATTCAAGCCAGGTCAATAGGTTCAGTTGCTCTAAATTACAAAGCAAAATCACCATATTTCTATGGATAGACAGAAGAATGAAAGAAATGATAGTAGGATTAGACAGAAATGTAAGGATTATTTCTGATACAACATATGATAACCTGAGGATACGCTCAGCATATGCATTCTGGCTTAATCTTTTAGAGAGTATCCTTTTTGTCTTAGGTCTCTGTCCTATGTAGCCTGCATGGGCTGCATGTCCTTTGCATTGCTTGGTGTTATATACTTTGTCGTGGACGTCAAGGGATGGTGGGGTGGCCAACCTTTCATTTATCCAGGTGAGAACAAGCAAGGATGTTGTGTATAAATCATGGCTTTACATTAATTGCACCTGTATTTTTGTATGCTGTTGTAAAGAAACCTGTAGAAAAAGTAATTCCTGATGTGGTGCACTTCAGAATTTTATGTGATGCTCTTTCAGCCTGTTTATAAATTTCACTGACAAATGTTGTACCATAATCTGAACTTGTTTACAGGAATGAACTCCATCTTTGTCTATGTGGGCCATTCTCTGTTGGGCTTCTACTTTCCCTTCAGCTGGGAGATGCGTTTCCAGGACAGTCACTGGGAGAAGCTCTTCCAGAACCTTTGGGGCACTGCACTCTGGATCTTCATCGCTTATCTGCTCTACCGCAAACATTTCTTCCTCAAAATCTGATTTAAAAATATGTTTGACTGTACATCACAGAACAAAACACAGCCCTTCTGTACATTCTTACACTGTCTTCAGGATATTTGCTTACTTTTTACTTGATTGTTTCTATGTAGATTGGATGCTTAGGTAGACAGATGGTTAGATGACCCGACTTCTGCCTTTTTTTTCCTTTTTCACTCAAATTAGTGCATCTACATTAGCCTAGATGTGTTAGTTTGGTCCATAAAACTGAATGTAGAGTATTCCGTCACTCAATTAGTAAATAGGTGTCTGTGGTGAAAGCAGAGTATCTGATTTACTGTCTCCTGAAGACACCTGGGATGTTTTATTTGATGTCAGCTGTGTAAGGCCCTGAATGTACTGATTAAATCAAACAGACTGAAGTGGTACTTAACAAATTAGAATGAGTGATTCCACCACTTCAGGGGTGGCCATTATGAATCGGTTGCCATAGCCACCCCCCCCAACCAAGTGCCGTGAGACAGAGAGTGGGTACCATCTGCTCTTCAGCTGACAGTTCTTTAATGGGGGTCAAGCTGGACTGCTCACCAAGGAGTGGCTCTAATAAGACCAACACTTTTCAGACTCACACTAACGTGAAATCAGGGAAATTACATCGGCAGCTCACATGCTCGTTCACAAGTGGCCCTTCACCACATAAAACAGACGTCAATACAAGCAAACATTTTCGTTAAACGAGATTCTGATAAATGAAATATGAATGACAGATGTTGAACAACATCTCTGACCTCTGTCCCAGCTGGGAGCAACTATTAGAGGGAACTGGCCAGGATCTAGAGGTTTTATCTCTCTCTGTAGCTCAGTAACTTTATACTGAACACTCTCACTCAGAAAAAGCCTTCATAATGATGATAGGAATGAGTCATTTTATTTATGTTGTGCATTTCAAAGAGCCTTATAGTAAAATGTTGCACAAGAAAGAAGTGTTCTCATCAATAAAAAGGTCTGGGACTGCAGCAAAAAGACTAGGCCAAAATTAATGAATAGGCAATATAACAAAACAAATTCTTTCATTTTTTAAGCTTTATTTATCACCCATAAGAGTGGCTGTTCCTCTATTAGTTAGGATTTTGTTCCAGCCCATATTTTTACATTCATTTAGGAAAAGGTTTGATCCATTAATAAAAAGTTATAATCCATTGGAAGACTGAATTACTATTCACTGTGTATTACAAATTCAGTGAAAGACCTCCTCCTCTTCTGTCAGTTTATGAGAAAGCTTTTCATTTTCAGGTGATCAAATTACCCACATTAGTTGAGCCGCCCTAAAGATGGAAGTAAATTGGTCAACTGATTTAGGAAATGGACTAATGATTATTGTTATACCCCAAGACCCATGGGAATGTTTCTCATCAATGTGTAATTTCAGCTACCAAAAGCTGCTAAAATCACTGAGCAGTATTTTAACATTAGTGTACATATACATATCATATGTGTATATCTAATGTATAGTAGGCACTAAACTAGATACAGCAACTGTTATTACTAATAATAATAATTGCTAAAAAATGCTTTTGGTAATAATGCTATTCTCTTTAGAATGGGTTCATATCTCCAGAAGATGCTATCATGCAGTCACATTAAAAAAGAAATGCATTGTGGTCATACATGTCATGGATCTGTCTTTGCGCTTGCTCGTCTATATTGATTTACATTGACCATATGTCTCAAAATACCTTCTTGTATTTGCTGTAGAGTAATCTGAGCTTTGTTAATATGGACCTTTTAGGCTTGCTTATGTGCCCTTTTATGTAAAGCTATGTAAACAGGGCCTTCCTGTGGGCCAATATGGGGTAATATTAAGAGGATCTACAGTGTGATAAATTCTACCCACAGAACAGAGTAAACGAATTACTTAAAAATAAACCATTTATTCAGAAAATAATCATATTGTTTGTGTTTGCATGTTGTTCTAGGTCTCTTTCAGTTGCTACTCTCTGTCACAATCAAAAGTATATTCGTTATAGATCCAATACACAACAACACAGGCCTAGTGAAGTGGTATTAAGAGAATGCTTCAAAGTACTCCCTCTGCATGGGGCAAAATGTTACTAAATCACATTAAAAATAAACTTCTCTCTTACATTGAAATGACACACAGAATGTGCTCTCTTTGTGAAAGAAATATCCTATTTTATTATTCAGATTTTACTGTTTATTAGTCTATTAGTCTATTAAATTATCCACATTTACAGCTGCATTCAAACTGACATGGACAAAAAACGTTGTCCTGGTGGCCGCTGCAAAACAGTTCATGCAGCTGTTTGGGGACAGCAATACACGGTATAAACTCAACACATCCCCGAGCCATTTTAGCTTCGTATAGGTTTCACTGGGGTTCAGCCGTGCAGACACTGATTGGTGTGGTTGTCGTGATGGACTGGTAGTCAGCCCCGGAGGCAGGTTAATGCATCATGGCCGCCCTTCTCTACGTAAATCAAGGGACTTGTGTTTTCACCCACCCGTATTCCGGCAGAACCCCGCCCTCCTGTACCACTATTAGTTCAGTAGTTTACACTCAGGAGCAGGCCGCCTAATGGGCCAATCCTAGCACAGGCGGGGGGACAACACTGTCCAATCCCAGCGCAGGAGGCGGGGCTTATCTCAGTACCGGCGGGGAAAAAACAACGCCGCGCGAGTTAATCAGCCAATCAGACAGAGAGACCGAGGCTGAGAGCTCGTCAGAGCTGAGACAGACCAAGAGCACCTCAGACACGATACTGAAGTTTCGAGCTGCTGCGTTCACTTCTGACATCTCAAAAAGTACATTTTAATACTGCATTTGTTTCTGTTTCTATCGTCCTGCTTAATCCAGAAAATAACAGCAGTTTGATACTGATATTCAGATAAAAAACAACATCACACTCGAGTGAGATCAATATCTTGTCTATGAAACATGAGCAGGGCAGAGTTTTGTACATGGAAAACAACAGTTTCAATAACAGCTAATTTCCACTCATTGGTTTGTTAAAACGGCACATTTCCTGTTTGACCTTTAGTGAAATTATCATGGGATAAACATCCAAGCTGTATAATGCGAAAATTGATTCAGCTCTAGTGTTGTGGTCATCACTGACTGTCCATGTTCCATTGACACAGCATCAATGTTTTTACTTTAGCCACTCGGTTGCTAACAAACACAAGAAACACAACAGATGATTTTGTATTACAAAAGTGCACTGATAAAGTGAGAAAGTGAATGTACTTGATTCAAATTGTTACATCTTTACATCCTTTCATATATATATATATATATATATATATATACTTTAGCAATAATTACTTCGATTACGTCTGGAATTAATTATATTGTGGCGTCAGACCACGCACAATATTTAATATGTGTGGAAGAAAGGATGTGCATATATGAATCCATTAAAATCAATGCATCACTTTTTCCAGTGAATCCAAAGTGCATCTTCTATGGAAAGTAATTCCTCTGATCTGGCTACCTTATAGGCTCCTAACAGTCTAAACAGTGTGGGTCTCAGTGATGCACTGTACTCCGAGTAATTTGTTTAGGCTAAGCTACTTGTCAAACCCTAATTCTAGCTTTTCCTTCATTAGCCTGACGGACTTTCTTCGGGGAGCTTCGTACTCGGTGATGCTGTCTGTGGCTGTCTGTGGAAAATCCAGCTGAGGATGTGAGTGTGGTTTGAACCTCCTCCTCCTCCCCCTGCATCGCGCCACACATGCTACGCAGCTAATGTTAGCGCCGCACTGACCAACTCGCCAATGGGATACTCAGCCTACGGACTTTTTTGGCTCCTGCGCAAAACGTTAACCGTTTGAATTTCTTTCGGCTCCTTTTCTTTTTTAATCGAAACCGCAAAACAGCTCCACAGTTCATCAAGTTGGTTTAGTCTGTTGTTTCTGAAATCCCACTTATGACTGATAAGTATGGGCACGGCGCGCGGCACGCTGTGGGGAGACGTCGTTGTGGTCCTCTTGCTCCTCTGTGAAGGTAAGGCTGAGGTCTGCTTTCAGGGTCGTCCGTAGACTCTATACTTAAAATTTGACGTGTAATGTTTCATTAAAAACTGTTCAGTTGTGTGTTATCGACTCTACCATGCTCACCGCAATAATAGCGCGTTTACACTTGTCCATTTTAAAGTTAAAACAAGTTCTACTTAAGACATCTTCCAGTCTAGTGTTTGCCTTTCTGCTTTGTCTTACAAACAATAAGACTCTGATCACATTTTTTGATAATAATTACTCTAATACATAATCTTAAGAATTATTTTAGGCTTCTGAGTGACTTGTTTCAGCAAATCAGCTTTTTTCCTCCAAATTTGCAAATGCTCACTTCTGTATATATTCTATTACACTACCCTAAAGATAAATAGAGTTGTGGTTAAGAAAAAGGCTACAGTCTATTTCTGCTACAAACCATTTATTTTTGTTGTTGTGCACTGTAGAGACTAAGTTTAAATGCATCCGGGACCATCTCTCGCCTGTATTCCACCATTCTGGATATTAAGGGATTTGTTTCTTCCATTCTGTAAGTGAGAAGCTGCATTGGGTCTAGAGGACCTGTGACCTAGTATGCCACTAGGTTCTGCAAGCAATATGTGCACTGTTATATATCATAATATTATAATCCCATTTAAAACCCTCTGTCCAACTGTACTAACACACCCCTCTCAAAATGACTATATTTATATTCCAACTCATAGCTCAGGAGTTTTTAAATGGCGGCGTGCGGATGGTTGCATTAAAAGAGAACGGTCACACTGGTGCAGTTTGAATGTAGGCAAAAGCAGTACATAGCAGAGGCTTTTTTTCTGCTATTTTGGTCGTTCAGAAAGCATGCGACTGTATGTGCATGCATGTGAGTGCTGCATTTCAGCATTCCCTCATTATGGCTTGTGATGGAGAGCAGAGGCAGAGCTGTGACTCTGATGATGAGTAAATGATAAATTAAGCCTGTAGTGTCAAAGGATTCTTACTATGAAGCTGACAGGCACAACATTCTAGCTCAGTGCAAACAAGAGCAACAAATGCAAGACATTTTTGATGGTGTACTCTGTTTCAATCTATATGCAAATGGTAATGCAAGTTGTTTGGGCATTATTCACAAAGATTTTTAATTTCTCAGTAAACAACTACAAGACTTATATTTCCTTGTGATGACACTAAAATAATGCCATTTTGGATGAAATGTATATTCTAATCTTTCACTGTTGTATGGAATATCATACTGTAGTTTATTGATGTTACTGAATAATTCAGTCTTGGATGTGCAGTCTGGCTAGCTCATAGTACAGGGTGTCATAATGTAAGTTCAGTAAAGGTTAGAAGGACACAAGCACTCAGCAACCAAGTCATTGATGTAAACATACATCTATGTGCTAAAAAAGGTGTGGCAGGCAGTGTTTTATTTTATTATTATTTTTTGAAATGCGAAAAATTTGTCTTCACCGCTTTTGCCATCATTTCTTCTCAGCATAACTGCTAGATTTGTCTGTTTTATACA